ATTCTAGAGGGATGTGATATTACACAGAAGACCAAGACATGTCCTCTAGCATTAAACAGGGGCACAGAATGATGGATTTAAGTTACCAGAAAGCAGCTTCAAAGTGAATCTTAGAAAAGACTTCTTAACAGCAAGAGCAGTAGGACAGAATTTATAGATATACTCAGAGAGCTGATGAACTCCCCACCACTGAATGAGTCAAGTAGAGTCTGGTCTGACATCCACTGGTCAAGAGTACTTTAATTTATATTCCTGTAAGGAATGGATTCATTCCTAAATATCTAAGATTCTGTTATTCTTTTATTTGACAAAATGATGCTCTTCAAGTAAGCACAGAGGTGGAACTCTCAGAGCTCTGTAATGATCACTTGCATGATATCCTCCAGGTAAAACTGCTCACATCTGCTCTCATTCAGAAGACATGAGGATCAGGTTTGCTAGCAAGTTAATAGTTGAAATAAGCAGGCAAGCCAGATGGCTTATCCCAACTCATGCCATAAAGCAGAAGTTACTGGAATAACAGTTCTATAGTACTTAAGAATGGAGTGTATAGGGGACAGAGAGAATATTGTGAGAAGACTTTAAAAAATTAAAAGCATTTGTGCATTAAAAGTGTGATACACTTATAGAAAAGTGCTTTATGAATAACAACAGTAGGAACAGGTGGATAGAAAACATGTTAATGAATTTCTTAATACTGGCTACAAATATGAATTTGCAAAAAAACAGATGAGGGGACGTGATTTTCTTGCACGGCACAGGAGTGCTTTTAAAAAGTACTCCTTTCCCCCTTCCTTCCCCATAAGAATATCCCCAGAGCCAGCCGTGCAGTCGAGTTCCTAAGGTTTGGCTTCTGCTCAATTAGTGTGTAGGAGGAAGGCATCGTGCTTGCATGAGAAGGGCACATCTGGATTAAAAACAGCTCAATGTCTTTCTGCAAAAGAGCTATTTTAGTTTCAAGATGTTTACTGCCCCCATTCAAGAAAGCTGATTTTATTTCTGTAGATCAGCTCCCTGAAGGAAGACTTTGGACCTAGGTAGCAAGCTGAACTTTATAAAAGATATAAAAAGCAACAGGGAGCCCTAAGCTTTGATTTTGCAAAATTGTTTTGTATCCATGAGGCAAGAAAAGTCAGCAACGCACCCAACTGCACAGCTTGCTTACGTTGAAAACCTGTTTTCCTGAGTTCAGGGGGTGGCAAACCTGATGGTGCTATGTATATTCATAATTACATGCTCCCAGGAATATATCCATTAAAAAAAGGAGTGTGGTCAAGTGAAAAATTATTTAGTGGACATCTCCCAGAAAACTGTGTAGTAATGCAACTTGCCTGTATAGCAGAGACTCAGAGCCTCAGTGCCAGGAATTAAAAGAACAATGCTCAGAGTTAGATAGGGAAGCTGCTACATGCTAAGCCAACTGTGATGTCTGTTATGTGTCAGTTCATGATGCAATGTAACCCTCTTACTTTCAAAGTATTAGGAATGCTTGGTCGATACCACCTTACTACTGAGAGAAGACTGAGGAGAACAAAGGCCCTGCTTGAAGCCTCTTAGAAACGAGGTTTCCAAGCAATAACGAGATATTATTCAGGAACTGTCTTCCATTAGTACATGAAGTCAATGGTATTTCCTTTCATTGGCTTATCTCATGTGCATTCAAGAGCCACCTTGCTTCCTGCATCTAGTCCAATATAACTGCTTTGACTGGCAGTAATTTCAGGCCCTTCATATTACTTTTTATTTGGTAAGTGGAGATGCCAGAGAGTAAAGACGATATTGATGTCATTAGCAACTGAACTATACAGATTGCCATTTCATCAACTATCAGAACTAAGAAGTAGGATCGCTCCAGCAATTCTGCTGCTGACTTCTCGCCTCTCTGATCTGTTTCTGTCTCCATTAATTTTTATGAAAATTCTGTGCTTTAAGAAATGATGTTATTTTTCTTTGCTTTTTTCTCCTTTCCATCCCCTTATTTTCCTCTCATGCCCTGTCTTTTAGATTAAGCCTGAAAGGACTGCCTTTTCTCTTTCTGTAAAAGAGCGTAGCTGAAATACTATAAATAAGTAAACAAAGAAGACAACTGGTTAACTGATGGAGCTTTGCATGCTGCTCTTTGACTATGTTATTTACTTATGGCTTCTATATGGAGTGGGAAGAAAAAGTGCATCTGAATCTCCCAACCACAACCCCAAAACTAAAGAGGAACAAGTTTGATGTTGCTCCTTGCCCTGAGCAATACTGACCTGTGAGGCTACAGAGTGAGTTATTGTTCACAGAGTACAAAGTCTTAGCCTTGTTATCTAATGTCACAGAATGTTGGCATTGCTTCTCCCCCCCCCCTTAAAATAATACAATGAGATGTTATGATTTTGGAGGGGTGTAAATGGTACAACCCTGGCTCAAATTACTACCGCATCAGTGATGAAGCAGGCAATAAATGTTCCAGTCCCCCTTTTCTACAACATACTGAATATTTTATAGTTATGGCGCCTCTGGAAATCACTTTGTCTGGAGAGGAAACAAAGAGCTCTCCCAACTTGCATCTAACCATGCTCTAGTTACAAAACTCTAGATCAGGGTTCCTCAACCTCAGCAACTTTAAGATGGGTGGACGTCAAGTCCCAGAATTCCCCAGCCAGCATGGCTGGCTGGGGAATTCTGGGAGTTGATGTCCACCCATCTTAAAGTTGCTGAGGTTGAGGAACCCTGATCTAGAGTTTTGTAACTAGAGCATGGTTAGATGCAAGTTGGGAGAGCTCTTTGTTTCCTCTCCAGACAAAGTGATTTCCAGAGGCGCCATAACTATAAAATATTCAGTATGTTGTAGAAAAGGGGGACTGGAACATTTATTGCCTGCTTCATCA